TAATTGAATTTTTGCGATGAATTTTATGAATTTTGAAAATAATTAAATTTCTGCAATTATTTGTAACTTCTCCAAAAATTCTCCAAATTATATCGTATACAATTTAAAAACTTTTTTTGCTTTTTCAATTTAATTACGGACTTTACGGACTTTTTTTTAAAATAAATTGACTTTTACGGACTTCAAGCAAATTTACGGACCTTTACGGGATTAAACGGGTGTAAACTTCGGTGGTTCAAACTACAATTTATTCAAAGGACTATTGGTTGAAATTACCATTGATTAAAATCACAATTGCTTCAAAATGTTATTGGTTCAAACTACCATAGGCTTATTTTAAACCAATGGTAGTTTGAACCAATAACATTTTGAAGCGATTGTACTTTGAATTAATTGTAGTTTGAACCACTAGTAGTTTGAACCATTAGTAGTTTGAACCACTAGTAGTTTGAACCATTAGTAGTTTGAACCACTAGTAGTTTGAACCATTAGTAGTTTGAACCATTAGTATTTTGAACCATTAGCAGTTTGAACTAATAATATTTTGAACCAATGGTAATTGAACTAAAGGTAATTTAATCCTATGATAGTTTGAGTCAATGATAATTTAAGCCTTTGGTAGTTTGAAACAGTGGTAATGTAACCTATGTTAATTTAAACCAATAGTAGTTTGAATCACTGAAAATTTAAGCCAATGGTACAATTAAACTTTAAGTTTAAGTTAATTTCCCCCCAAAAAAACCAAAAACCGGTAAAATCCGTTTAGCTAAATTTCCATTCCGGTTTATGGTGTATGATGACTTGTCTACTTTTTTTCTTTCCCCCCTTACAACCCTGTCTATACAGCTTGTGGATCGATTGAAGTTTGTCAATTGAATGTTGAATGACTGGTTGCCTGCGCTAGCTCGGATTATTTCATCGCAATTGCAGCATTACATTTATTTTATATCACGAATTCAAAAAGTTGGAGTTGCGGACGAACTCCCGTTTTGAGGCGCGTATTTAGAGTGAAGAAGAAGAAGAAGAAACATTGCGAGAAATGTTGTGATACAGAAGAAAAATGGGAGAAAAAAGACGTATGTATTCATGGAGTGAAGCTGGTGGCCTTGCGGTAGTTTTACTGTACCGTAACGTGAGAATTTTATTGGCGTTCTCTGTCAACTTGGCAGTGAATCAAGAAATAAGGAGAGAATCATTGGGAGAGAGATCAACAACTTACGTTATCGAACGCAACCATATGTGTATTATAACAAAATCAAGTTTTTTTTTATTGTTTACTTCTTGATCGGTCAATGTTCCAAGCAGCTGTTTTCACCGCAAGATCTATCAATGAACGTTCTTCGAACTTTTCGCCGCATTAAGTTTCTACTCTCTTCTCTCTCTCTCTCTCTTTTTCTCTTTTTTTTATTTCTCTCGGCGTTCAAGATCATCATCACTTGGATTTTATGAATCTGACCCAGTTTGCCGAGGAAGGAAAGGAAAAAAAATCTTCTGATCTGCGGTGAAATGTTAGTGCAAAACGAAAAGGAAGTTTCAATAAAGAAGAACAATAAATAATTTTGAAATTTTTACACAAGAATATATGACAACGAAATGAGGAAATGAAAATTTATAAGTGAAAGTGTAGGAAAATTGGATTTCAAATTTTTTCCAGAAATTTTATACATTTCCTTCAAAATTTTATTGTTCCAAATTTCCAATAAAGGAATTCAGTTTGGTCCTACAATTTTCTTTGTTATTATTATAATTTTATTCCTACTAATTACTTACATTTATTCTTACTAATTTTTATTTTCATACTGTCATTAATTTTATTATTATTATTATTATTATTATTATTATTATTATTATTATTATTATTATTATTATTTTTAACAAAAAAAAATAATTAACTGAATTATAAATATAAAAGAAAAGGAAAAATCGAAATGAAAGAAAATTATTACATTCATTTGCGTGAAAATATTTCCACTTTCGAAAATGGAGAGAAAAATTCTCCTAAGCATGTATAAGCTGGTGGTTTATTATTAAAGCAAATGGGAACTATTGTTCACTTCGCGTCAAGTTCATTACTTATGCTGAGAAATCGTGACAATGTGCCTATAGAGAATATATATGTAAAGTATGTAACATTTTGTCACGTTCTCACACGAACTAGGTATAGGGGACCATAATAAATCATGTGTTGAATTTTATAAAAGGCAACGTGAACAATAAAAAGAAAAAAAAAATTAATGTCCGAGATTTTTCCTTGCACTTTTATATAAATATAGCTGTTAAATAGAAAAAATGTATGACAAAAAAAAACGCTATAAACAGTTCTCACTTACAATTATATTCAAGAATGCAATATTTAGGAAATGTTTCCTTTTCAATATTTTCCGAATGTATAAAAATGAAATTTCCTGCCCAAATACGATATTGGTGAAAATGTTGGAGGAAAAAAATTTTTAATGCTAACATCCTGCGTCACTTTCTTTAGAAAATTATTAACTACTAGCCAAATGTTGTATTGCACGGTTTATTGTAAACAATTTCAAGTAATTTTAATTTAAGTATTAATTAATTAATTTAAATAATAATTAAATAATTAATTTTCACTAATAATAAAATTTTTCATGAAAATTCAATTTTTAAAAAAAAATTTTTTGATTAAATTTTAAACATGAATTTAATTATTTTCATAAATAATAAAACTTATCGAATGATATCAATTATTTTTAATACTATTTTAAATTAATAATCGAAAAATTCAGTTATTTTCACAAATAAAGTTTTCCACTAGAATCCAATTATTTAAACTAATAAAATTTTCATAATATTTATTATATTTCGAGAAAATTAATTATTAATTAATTAATTAATTATTAATTTTTATTATCATAAAATTCTTATGAAGAAGTCAATTACTTTCAAAAATAATAAATTTTTTTTACAGAAATTCAATTTTTTTTGAAACATTTTAATAAACTTTTCCGCAATAATTCAATTATTTTCAAAAAATAATAAAATTTTTCTATGTAATTCAATTATTTTTGAGAATTATAATAAAATTCTTAGCAACTATTCAATTATTTTCATAAATAATAAAATTCATAGCAGGATTTCAATTATTTTCAATACAATTTTACAGTAATTATTTTTAAAAACTTAATTTCAATTCCTCGAAAAAATCAATTATTTAAAAAAATGTTTTTTTGAATATTTTTTGGAAGGATTGAATAATTATTTTCAAAAATTTAATAAAATTGTTCGAAAGAAATTAATTGTTTTAAATACAATTTTAATTAAATAATTCAATTGTTTTTTAAAATTTTAATAACATTTTTTCTAAGAATTCAATTATGTCGATAAATAAGAAAATTACTCCCGAAAATTCAATTATTTTGAGGTATTTTAATAAAATTCTTTTCAAAATTCAATTATTTTCATAAATACGAATATTCATCACAATAATTCAATTATTTTTAAAAGTAATAATTTTCTTCTTGGAATTACATTATTTTAAAAAATTCTAATAAATCGTTCGCAAGAATTCAATTATTTTCAAAAAAAAATTAATAAAATTTCTCACAGTCACTCAATTATTGACAAATTTTTTAATAGAATTCTTTGTAAAATTTAATTATCTTTAAAAACTTTTCGCAATTCAATGATTTTCAATATCTACTATTTTCATAAAATTTACAAACAGAATTCAATTATTTAAAAAATGGTTTGTAAAAATTTTCGTAATAATTCAATTCTTTTCATGAATAATAAAAATTTTCATCAATTCAATTATTTAAATTAGAATTTTGCATAAAATTATTCCAAAGAAATGAATTATTTAAAAATTTTTATAAAATTCTTCGCAAGAATTAAATTATTTTTATAAATATTAAAATTCTTTGATGAATAATAAAATTATGATTAACAAATAAATTTTGTTTATTATATGCTTCTTTCTAAAACAAATTTCATTTGACTGATCTAAATTATGCAAATTTTTCTCCTTTTTATTTATAAAAAATATGAGAAAATTGTTAATTGTTAAAAAATTATCATCAATTATTATCATTTTATGCATAATTTATATTTCTCAATAAAAATATTGTTCAGAAACTCATTCTTTTCTTTTTGTAAAAGCAGAAGCATTCTATATTCTATTCTATTTGTCAATTAAAAATTTTAATTGAATATGACATTGAAACTTTTTAAATTTTTAGAAAATAAAGGAAAAAATTTTACTCAAAAAAAATGTTCTGTTACATTTATTTACGAATTTCTTTCATTGTAAAATTATTCGAAAACATCAATAAGCTTTTTTTTGAATAAATATTTAAATATTATTTTTCCGTAGGAATTAAAATTTTTCAAAACATTCAAATTCAAATTTTTTGCAATTCAATAACTTAGAAGAATATTTTTAAAAAACATAAAGATAGCGATTGCTCCGAGTCGAAGACTCGGAGTTATCGATTTTTTCATGTTTTATAAATAATTAAAGATGACCGAGTGATAAAATCATTGTTTTATATTATAAGAATATTATTACAGTAACTTTTTCAAAATTATTTTCATCATTTCAAATTATTATTTTTTACAATTTTTAATTATTTTTTATAAAAATAATTGAATTCCTTAAAAAAAACTTTTATTATTTATGAAAATAATTGAATAATTGCGGAGGAATTTATAAAAAATTTGTAAATAATTGAATTCCGGAGAAATTTTTTTATGAAAATAATTTGTTTGCGTAATATTTTTGGGAAATTGAAATTGATTTGAAAATAATTGAACTTTGGAAAAGAATTTTGTTATTAAAGATATAAAATATTTTAATTGTAATAATTTTTGTTATAAAAGATAATTGGGATTTTGAATAGAATTTTTTTTAAATTTGAAATATTTTTATATTTTAACAAAATTTACAGGAAATAAAAATTTCCACAAAATTCGAAGAAAAAATTTATGTAATTAATTATGTAAAATAATTTTTCTTTTTTATTATTCTACAGTTCTGAATGTTGCTGGTGGAAAAGCGCCGATGCAGTCGAGCAGTGCGGACGGCGGAATTCCACAGCGTGCCGTGGATGGAAGTAGCGGGCAAATTTATTCACCTCAAACTTGTACATTGACAAGGGCCGAGCCAAGGCCCTGGTGGTATGTCAATCTTCTCGAGCCTTATATGGTTCAATTGGTGCGACTCGACTTTGGCAAATCTTGTTGCGGTAAGTGCAAAATCTATTTAGATTATCATTCACATTTTTCTCAATTATATACCATAAATTCCCTAAAATTACCAAAAAATGAAATTTTTACCTAAAAAGCCTCAAAAATCCAAAAAAATTGAAAAAATATTTTCCATTTTCAAAAATACGGTAAAGATAAATGCAAACAAATTTTTTTCTTTTTAAAAAACATCTGCGGCCGTATTTTTGGTTCACAAAAGTAAAAAAAAAAGTATCATAAAGATGCAGTTAAAATTTTTTTCTTTTTTTGTAAAATATCGTAAAGATAAATGCAGGGCAAATTTTTTCCTTTTTCGAAAAATATCATGAAGATAAATGCAGGTCAATCTTAATCTTTTTTTTTTTTTGAAAAAATAAGTGCGCACGATATGTGCATGTGCGTTTCTTGGTAATTAATTATAGGAACAAGAAAAAATTAATATTTCGAATTATCATGTTGACTTAAAATTACCGATGAGAAAACAAATTGATAACCGTTGCAAATCACGCGATAAATTTATTTCTCTCGAACTTTCTAAGTATATATAAATATATACACACTAAGGAAGATGAAATAGCAGAGGGTATTTCAATATCACGTAATGGGGAGTCATTAATTTTTGACGTAAACTAGTTTTTTAATTCTTATTGACAATAATAATAGCAACAAAAATGTAAATAAATCAATCTAATAATAATAATAATAAATAATAATTCACTGTTTATCTAAAGATATATAGCTACTACTATTTCCACTACTATTCCTATTGCTTCTACTGCAATTGCTGATACTATTATTATTACTGTTGCTACTACTATTGCTACTATTATTACTGCTACTATTTTTATTGCTACTATTGTTACTAATACTATTTTTATTTTACTACTGTTACTATTAATACTACTATTTTTCTTAGTAGTAGGAACGGTAGTAAAATTGCTACTATTGTTACTAATACTATTTTTGTTTCACTACTGTTACTACTACTTTTTTTCTTAGTAGCAGTAACGGTAGTAAAATTGACACTATTGTTACTAATACTGTTTTTATTTTACTACTATTTTTCTTAGTAGTAGCAACGGTAGTAAAATCGACATTATTATCACTGATACTATTTTCATTGCTACTATTGTTACTAATACTATTTTTATTTTACTCTTGTACTTTTACTATTTTTCTTAGTAGTAGTAACGGTAGTAAAATTTCTACTATTGTTACTAATACTATTTTTATTTTACTACCGTTACTACTACTATTTTTCTTAGTAGTAGCAACGGTAGTAAAATTGCCGCTATTATCACTGATACTATTTTTATTGCTACTGTTGTTACTAATACTATTTTAATTTTACTACCGTTACCACTACTAAGAAAAATAGTAGCAGTAACGACAGTAAAATAAAAATAATATTAGTAACAATAGTAGCAGTAATAATCGTAGCAATAGTAACAGTAATAGTAGTAGTAGTAACAGTAGTAAAATAAAAATAGTATTAATAATAATAGTAGCAGTAATAATAGTAGCAGCAATAGTAGTAGAAGCAATAGTAATATTAGTAGGAGTAGTAGCAGCAACAGTAATAGTAGCAGCAATAATAGTAGAAGCAATATTAAAACATTAAAAGTAATTAATACTATTAATAGAAACAGTAGTAGGAACAGTAGTAACAATAGTAATAGTCCTAATAATAATAAAAAGTGTTTATATACTCAAAGTTACGGTATAAAGCTTTTAACGGTACAAATTGTCTGTGCGTCTAGTCTTGTTGTTTTCTATTATGACGTTGATTTTAATGACGCATAAGGATATATATAAGTGTTTGAAACAACTGGGTTTTTACGTTTGGGATCTTCCTCCTTTAGCACGAGCTTGTCATTTATTCTTAATGAAAACACTTTATTTTTGTAATACTTTATTATAAGTCGCACAAATAGTAGTGGAGAAAATTTCATAAATATATACTCTTTTATAAACTGGCATTATCTACAAACTTGGCCGTCACAAGTGATTTTCTTTTTAGCCTCACAGAAATTAGTGTAATTTATAGTTTAACGAGAAAACTAATTATTTTCCGTATATTATAAAATAAATAGTTTTCTTTTCTGTGTCGCGAGCCGGATACTAAAAAACAAAGGTTTATTTACATTGGTATTTTTAATTTGTAGGCAATTATCAATATAGTTCATATTACAAATAATAGTTCAAAAATTATTAATAGTTCAAATTATTATTGGTTAAAACCATCAACAGTTCCAATTATTTTTGGCTAAAACCATGAACAGTTCAAACTTTAATTGGTTCAAATTCAAACTACCATTGGTTCAAGCTACCATTGGCTGAAAATATAATTTGTTCAAACTACCATTGGTTTAAATTACCATTGGTTCAAACTAACATTGGTTTAAATTACCATTTGTTCAAACTAACATTGGTTTAAATTACCATTGGTTCAAACTAACATTTGTTTAAACTACCATTGGTTCAAACTACCATTGATTTAAAGTAGCATTGGTTCAAACTAACATTGGTTTAAATTACCATTGGTTCAAACTAAAATTGATTTAAATTACAATTGGTTCAAACTAACATTTGTTTAAACTACCATTGGTTCAAACTACCATTGATTTAAAGTAGCATTGGTTCAAACTAACATTGGTTTAAATTACCATAGGCTTAATTTGAACCAATAGTAGTTTAAACCAATAATATTTTAAACCAAGGGTGATTTTAGTTTTAAATAGTAGTTTAAACCAATGGTAGTTTGAACCAATTAAAAATTAAACCATTGGTATTTTGAATCACTAGTAGTTCAAACCAATAATATTTGGAACCAATGACGCTTTTAATCAATGGTAATTTAAGCCAATGATAGTTTAAATCAATTATAGTTGTTATTATATAGTTATTTATATAGTTATTAGTTTAATTTAATAAAAAACTTGAAATTACCATTAGTTCAAAGTCTATCACCAATACTCGAAACCACAATTGGTACAAAAATTATCATTGAGATATTTTACAGAAGAAAATCATACAAACCTTTCTTAATGTTGTTTATAACCTAGTTCAGTTATAAACGAAGAAAAATATTCTAAATCGATTAGCGAAGAGAAAACCGAGCAATGATTCAATTTTATGATATTCGATACACTTTGATTTTTGTGAAATGAAACAATAAGATTGGAAAAATCGATCCACTTGATGTCAAAAGAATATATCTTGTCAGAATAATTGAAAGTGAATGTAAATCGCACTTGAATCAATTTCGTTACGGTATTAAAGCGTCAATTCTCGAGACAAAAACAAGAGAAGACAATAATTTATTACTTTGAGAAATTAATTATTAAAATTTAATTAATTGTTTTTATTTACATTTTACAATATGAAAATTATATTTATTGAATTATTTCAATAAATTATTTCATTCAATATAAAAAATAATTGGAAATTTATTAGAAAAGTAATTTTGAAAAATTTTTCTCTTAATTTTAATTAATTAACAGTTTCTCTCTCTCTCTCTCTCTCTCTCTCTTAGTTAAAAAAAATTCCAAAGAGGATAAAATAATTTAATCAGAAATTATTTTTTAATAGTCTAATTATTTAATTAGAAATTAAATAGTAAATGTTTAATTATTACATAGAAACAAAATTTTACCTGAAAGAGCAATTACCTAGTTTCTCTAGAATTTTAATTTTAACTTTTAATTTTAACGACAAGTATTTTAACTGAAAGTATTTTAATTAAAAATATTTTTAAGTAAACGTATTTTTAAAGAAAAATATTTTATTTTCTCTCAAAATTTGAATTAGTAAAAATACTTTCAGTTAAAAATACTTCTAGTTAAAAATATTTTTAGTTAAATTACTTTTAGCTCAAAATAGTTTAAGTTAAAATATTTTTAGTTAAAAATATTTTTAGTAAAAATACTTTCAGTTAAAAATACTTCTAGTTAAAAATATTTTTAGTTAAATTACTTTTAGCTCAAAATAGTTTTAGTTAAAATATTTTTAGTTAAAAATATTTTTAGTTAAAATACTTTTAGTTAAAAATACTTCTAGTTAAAAATATTTTTAGTTAAAATGTTTTTAGTTAAAAATATTTTTAGTTAAAATTTTTTTTTAGTGAAATTAAAATTAAATTAAATTAAATTATTTTAGCTGAAAGAGTAATTAGTTTCTCTAGAATAGTGAATATTTTAATTGAATCAACTGAAAATTTCGCTAATTTAATGAAATTTATAGTTGTTACAGGTAAAAACTTGTTTTCTGTATAAAAAAACCTGTAGAAAACGTTTAGAAATTAAATAATAAAAGATTAAATAATTATCAATTAAAGAAACAAGAGAACAAAATTTTTAAATAAAAAAATATTTAACTGAGACGAAAAATTCTTGAGGTTTAATAAAAAGTAATTTTCTGTGTTTATTTATTTTTTATTTATTTGATTCAGAATTTTATTGCAAAAACAAAATTAATTTTCAAGAGACGACCATTTTCTGTTTTTTTTTTGTGGGGGATAAATGAAGACGATTTTCAAAGACATTTTTAATAAAACGATTCACTGAACTTGACAACTTTTTTTGTTGTTGAAAAAATTGACCTAAAAATAACTCCACCTTTTTTTTCTTCCCTTCCAAATAAATTCACTTAACTTTTTTTCCTCTTCTTTCTATTAGTCACCATTGTGAATTTAAAAGTTCTGTACCTAATTTCAATCCTACTTTCCATAGTTATGAAGCAAATTGATGGCAATTTTAACGTCGCGGATTGTCGATTTGTGAAAAGATCGCATCAATTGCAACGAGCCATGAAATCTCATAATAAATTGAGAGCTCATCGTCAATATACCATAGTATAATAATAATAACTAAAGTATTTTTCAAGAGCATGTTTTTAACTTTTAAGATTAGAAACTTTTCTTCAAGTTTAGAGAGAAAAAGAGAAAAAGGAAGAGGAGAGGGAGAGAGAAAGATAAAAGTGAGAATCTTTCACTTTCGAT